CTGTATTTCATTTCACCAGCTCCACCTAGACAAATTGGATAGTACTCACTGGTGATTCTGCCTTCCTCCATGCCCCCTAGGTCTAGGTTCCCTCTTGAAAGCTTGTAAGCCAGTTACTTCTTGCCTTTGTAGTCCCTCCCTCCCCATTTGGGTATCCAGTGTCCAAGTTGCCCCTCTCTGTCTACTCTGTGTGTGGAGGGGGTGGAAATGTTTCTTGGTATAAGGATTTGTTGCCTCTTTTGTGTCACTGCATTCATATGCATAGGTTAAGTTCAGCAGCTTGGATCAGCTCAGTCTTCTTCCCCCCCCCAACCCCCCTTCTTTTTCTCCTGGTTGAGCTCTGATCATCCAGTCATCCAGTCCTGGTCACGTGGGTGTCATCTACAAGTGTGGGTGTTCTTGTGCACATGCCCTCTCTTCCCATCAGCCGGCAGCTCCATTCTCCACTTGAGTCCTCTGTGGCCACGTCACTGACTCTGGGCCCAGGAGTCTTCGGGTCTCCTCGCACTGCTTGCCAACCAGGTCCCCAACTGGGTCCATAGAAGCTCTCTGAATATTGTGAGGCTTAGCTCGCAGCTTCATTGCTGCTTTTACCCCATTTCTCCCCAATGGTGATGCGTGTGTTTACCAATCCGAGCGTGCGTTTCCACCTAGTCTCAGTTTTTTTGTTTTTTTTTGGGGGGGGGGTGGTGCTACGTTGGTGGGACCCGACCAACTGCCCCAATGTCTCCTAGTGGAGCGACCTATTTGTTTCCGTAGTAGCAGTCCATCTGTCTCCATTGTGTCGTATTTTTCCTGTAGGTCTTCCATTCGAGAAGTATCTTTTGTTCTTCTCACCATTCCACGCTCGTTAGCTCAGACCTTCAAGTGGGGATTTCTCATCTCTGGTGATCTGGATGTGGTTCTTCTGGTTTTTCCTAACCATTTTTATTTAGTACAAGATAGGTTTAGGAGCGGACCGCTTCTTTCTTTGTGCAATACAGATAAAGGTTCTATTCTACCATTCGAAAGCCCTGAGTCTTTTGAACACAGGAGGACATAAAATTAGCTTCCCTCTTAAAAAGAATATTGGTGCTACAAATGGACTTATCAGCTATAGCTCGTGGTTCTGTTGCACACACAAAAAGGTCTTTTGAAGAAAACCTTGAAATTTAGTTAAGAATTTTAAGAAAATCCATCAAAAACGTAAACAAATGAAATTCTTCCGGAAATTTTTTGTAACAACTCCTACTTCAGATTTGAATACATTGGGCTGACTTTTCATAGTATTCCTTTACCAAGTTTGACTGATTAATTTATACCTCTTTTTTTAAATGTATATGTTTAGGACAGGTTTACAATATTGAAAAATATGTTTTTAAAAAACACTTTCAGGTACTGTCTTCAGCCTTACTATGTTGTTGGTAAGGGCCATTGAGTTGGTTCCGACTCATAGTGACCCTGTGTACGGTTTCCAGGGAGCGGCTAGTGAGTTTGAACCACCAATCTTGAAGTTCAAACCGACCTTGCGGTTCATTGCTTATCCTTCAGCACCACACCAGGACTCGAACTTTACTATAGCATTTTTCATTTTGGGAGATTCTATCAAATTATTATATATTATTGTCCTGCTGGCATGTATGTATATATGCAATTTTGTGTTCTGCTATAAACTGTGGAGTCCTGGTGTGACAGTACAGAATAAGCACAGGACTACTATCGGTGGTTCAAACCCTCCTGCCACACTTTGGAAACCCTGTACAGGGTCATTATGAGTCAGAACCAACTGAATGGTACAGCAACTCTATCCGAAGACTTTCTTATTTACCATATTTTTGGATGTTCCTCGCTGAAGTGATTCATGCTCTAGCATCTGTGACTCAGGAGAGTTTAAAGAGGTTTGTTTTGAACAGTCCCATGAGTGTCAGACCAGTCTTCCAACCAGAAAACTTACAGCCCAGATGAAGCAGCACATTTCTACTTAGCGTAGGCTTGATTGGAGAGTTGGTGGCTTTATACGGTATGTTCTCTAAGTTCCAAATGGTGAGATGCTAAGGCACCTTTAGTTTTAGAGCCTTCAGGGTAGCCAAAGGAAAGGGATGTGGCCTATTTGAGAAAAGAAAGCTTAGTTCTTTTTTGGGAAAGAAACTGAGACCTTTGCACTTTGCAAAGAGTGGGAGAGGCTAGAAAGAAGTAATATGTCAGTATCTGGTAACTGTAGAGAAGACAAATACGAACAGATTTATGTTGAATTATTTTAAAGCTACAAACTGAGCTAGGATCCTGTGGAGGATTGATTTAAAATTTGTAGACCTCTGAAGTCTTCTGGCCTCTCTGCACCTATTCTGGTGGTGACATGGGTGTGCGTCCCAGCTCAACCCCTAGGTTGAGACGGCCAGGCAAAGTAGGTAGTTTCAGAGATACTGAGGAGCAGCCTATGCAGTAGGTGGATATTTGTGCTGCTTTAGTTCTTTGGCATCCTCAGGAAAGAAGTAGAACACAAAGCAGAATTACAGGTTGAGTAAAGAACAAACAACTTGGATGTTGTTCATGTGGGTTGAACTCAGTTAGAATTGAGTTCTATCATATGTAACAGTAAGATAGTCAGAAAAACTGGAATTTAAACTAAACACAGGGCTTCCCTACCCCCTGCCTTCTTATAAAATAAGTCTGAAGACAGGCAGTTCAGGACTGGTGTGGCAGCTTTGTGGCCGTCAAATACCTATGCTCCCTCTTTCTTTTTGCTTAGTCATCCTTAAGACTGGCTTCCACCTCCAAGTTTGTGTCAGGGTTGCTAGATGACCACTGCTTACTAGTTATCACATCTGTATGTATTCCAGGCAGGGAGACAGAAAGGCAACCAGTCATATTTCATGGTAGAACCAGCCCTACTCACCCCTCCACTTGCATCTCATTGGTTATTCCTGTTTGTAAAGGATGTATTCTTCCCCAGTAATGAAATGGCTCAATATTGGATAGACAAATTGTAGTCTCTGCCATATCAGGAGATCATGAGACTAAAGGTATTACCAAGAATTAGGTAAACAAGACTTTGAGATTCCTATACACTCTTACAATAATGCTTGGTGAACGTGGCTTTGTGTGCTGCTTAATTAATTGATCTGACAGTATGTGCTAAAGTGCCCAGGTAATGCAGTGGTTAAGAGCTTGGCTGCTAACCAAAAGATCAGTGGTTCAAATCCACCAGCTGTTCCATGGAGGAAAGATGTGGCAGTCTGCCGCCTAAAAGATTTTTGTTAAGTGCCATGGAGTTTGGTTTCAACTCAGAGCAAACTGTATATGGTTTCCAAGGGGTGACTGGTATGTTTGAACCCCCGATCTGTGGTTTAGCCATTCAGTGCTTATCTCCTTTTTTTTTTTTCAAGGTTTTTATTGTGGATCGAGTGAAAGTTTATAGGGCAGATCATCAGTTCTGCTTTCAACAAGTCATACACTTTGTTTCATTACAATGGTTATAATCCCCTCCATGTACCATCAGTTACCAGTATTTCTCTGTATTCATTTTAGTGTGTTTTTTTTAACAAAACACTCAGGCATATATAATAATTTACACCTCTAAAGGGCACATTCTGCAATTCAGCCTCCTGGCCACAGGCTCTTAGTCCCTTTCTTCCCATGAATCTAGAGTCCTCAGCTGCTTCCCCTCTCCATGACCCCATCTCTGGCTCCCTTTCTAGTATCACTGCTTCTCTGGGTAAGGTCCCGCATTCTGCTTGTGCACTTCTTGATGGTCCTGGGGTCCTTCGTTTCTGGACTGTAAGATTAACCACTCCCCTGTTTTTATTACAAAATTTCTACCTTTACAATTGTGACAGTCGAAATTATTCATGATAACAATTATTTACTCTTGAATCATACAAATCTTATCCCCATCTCTTTTCACCAGACCCATCTAGACAGGATGAAAACTATTCAGTGGGGACTTTTTCTTTCCCCCCATACTCTTAAACTAAACTCCCTCTTGAAACCTTATAAGCCAGTACTTTGTGCCTTTATCACCCCCTCATTTTAGGTAGCCAGTGTCTTAAGTTGTCCGTCCCTATCTACCCTGTGTACAGAGGGGATAGCATTGGTACTTCATGTGAAGACTCCATCCCTCTCTGTTGGTATTTAGCCAGTGCTTATCTTATAGCACTTTACCAGGATGCCTCCTTAAAGATTGTTGTTAAGTGCCATTGAGTTGATTCCGACTCGTAGAGACCCTGTGTAGAGTTTCCGAGGAGCAGAAGATGACAGTTTTGGAAACCCTGTGGGACAGTTGTATTCCATTCTGTAGGGTCGCTATGAATCAGGAGGGACTTGATGGCAAGGGTACTGTGTGGTAAGCATCGGAATTGCAAGAATGAGCAAGATAGACGTAGTCCCTGTCTGCAAAGAGTTTATAGGTTAACAGGAAAAATAGGTTTAAATGAAATAAACTATAAATGTGTTGAGTATAAGAAAGGGGAAGTAGAGAGTACTTGGGGTTGTGCAGTAGAAAAGGCTCTAAGGGTGCGCTAATTACATATGCATTGAGATTTAAGAGGTGTTTGGGAGTTAGCCAGTTTAGCATGATGAGAGGCAGGGGGTGTGAGGGGAAGGGAAGAGGGGGAGGATTTCTCTCAGGCAGTCTCACTCCCAGTCTTGACAGTTTCCATAGCGGGTGTCCCATTCCCGCCCCGCACCCCACCCCCACCCCCCATTACTTACTTCTTCATCAGAGGGAATCCATGGAAGTTCTCAAGTAACAGGGGAGGGGAGGGACCAGAGATTCTTTTGATCAGAAATAGCTAAAGAATGGTATTCTTTCTATTGCTTGTTTCTCACTCTCTCTAGATATGTATCTGGCTGCATTGGCTACACCAGAAAGTGTTGGTACTGCAGGAAGCGGGTAAACAGGTGATAGGTTGATGTCCAGTTACCCTGTCATAGATCTGAATTTTGGTTTCAATGTGGGTCTTTGGGGAGCCCAGGATTGATTCTGACCATGAGATGCTGTTCTGACCCCTTTCCCCTTCCAGGAAGTGGACATTGTGGTAGCACCGTGCCAAGGCCTCCGGCCCACAGTGGATGTTCTGGGTGACTTGGCAAATGATTTCTTGCCTGTGATAACCTATGCGCTTCACAAAGATGAACTTTCAGAGAGGGATGAGCAAGAGCTTGAGGAAATCCGAAAGTATTTCTCCTTCCCCGTGTTCTTTTTCAAAGTGCCAAAGCTGGGCTCTGAGATCATCGACTCCTCCATCAAAAGAACGGACAGTGAAAGATCACCACTTTATCGCCAGCTCGTTGACCTGGGCTATCTGAGCAGCAGTCAGTGTAACTGTGGGGCCCTGGGCCAGGGCACTAGAGCTCAGAGCATGTTGGTGGAGCACAGTGAGAAGCTGAGACGCTTGAGCACATTCTGTCACCAGGTTCTACAGACTCGCCTGGTGGATGCGGCCAAGGCCCTGAACCTGGTGCACAGCCGCTGCCTTGACATCTTTATTAACCAGGCTTTCGACATGCAGCGGGACCTTCAGATCACTCCCAAACGTCTGGAATATACTCGGAAAAAGGAGAATGAGTTATATGAGTCACTGATGAACATTGCCAATCGAAAGCAGGAGGAAATGAAGGATATGATTGTGGAAACACTTAACACCATGACGGAGGAACTTCTGGATGATGCTGCTAACATGGAGTTCAAAGGTAGGTCCCAGAGAGCTTGGCAGGGAACTGGACCTACCAGAGCCGCTATAGCCCTTTCCTAGCTGGAAGTGAATACATTAGCACTTGAACCCAAAGGAACCTTGGGTAGTCTCATGTACCTCATTGTTACCAGCAGAACTTAACTTGAAATCGTGTAGCAAAGTGGCTTTTTGTGTTCTCAAAGACTTTCTTGGAATATTCTACTGTCATTCCTTTCAGAACTGTTAGCCTGACTTTTGTTAAATTCATTTTAAATCTCCTGCTAGTATTTTTATCTGTTGTGATATTGCAGGATCCAACCCTTCAGCTGTCCCTCGGAAACACTGTACAGGGTTGCTGTGAGTTGGAACCTACTTGATGGCATTTAACAACCACAGCCTAATGGAAGTGTACATGAGCTGCTTGAAGGATGTTAATGAAGTCATGCTATAGTTTCTCCTCCAGCGTGATTTGCGTTTCTTTAGTTGGCGCTGCTTTTTATCTTGTTTCTCATTTTCTTTTCAGGCTGCTCCTGAAAACCAACTCAAGAGGATTTCCCAAAGTAATGTTTTCAGCTTTCTTTGTGAATGGTTATTAACAAAATTGGGCCAAGATTATGGCCAGGCCTTTTGGTGTCTGAGGTTTAGATGCGGCTGACTTAGTCTACTGACTGCTGCATAACCCTCATTATGCATACACATAAGCTCCACTTTCTAGTAACTATAATGACATGACTTGCAAGTTATCTTTTAGGTTAGCAACCAGGGCTATACATCCAAATCATCGAGAAGAATTTTCGAACATGCTGATAGATGCTCACAATCACTAAAAGTCACTTCAGACCTGTTAATTCAGGTTTTCTGATATGGAACCTGAAATCATTGTTTTTCAAAAACAGCTTTCCGGGGTGGCTTCTGCTGTCATTTTGTAAATGTGGAAGCTGAGACTTAGAACACTTAGTTTGCTTAAGGTCTCATAGCCTGATTCCTGGGTGCAATCTCTTTATCTCTACGCTTTGTTGTTGATAAGTGCCATTGAGTCATTTCCAACTCACTGTTTAGGGTTTCTAAAGAGCAGCTGGTGGATTTGAACCTCTGACCTTGTGGTTAGCAGTTCAGTGCTTATCCTACAGCACCATGTTGTTGTTGTTGTTATATGCCGTGGAGTCGGTTCCGACTCATAGTGACCCTGTACAAGATTTCCAAGGCTGGAAATCTTTACGGGAGCAGAAAGACTCATCTTTCTCCCGCGGAGCCGCTGGTAGCTTTGAACTGCTGGCCTTAAGGTTCGCAGCCCGATTCATAACCATTATACTACCAGAAGGCTTTATACTGTATTAACCCTTAATCTGTTTCAAGGTACTAATGCCATCTTCTTCCTGGTACCCAGCTTCGAAACCTCAGCATTGGCTTTAAATGACTTACTTACTTTGTCCCCACATCAAATCATTTACCAAGTCTTGAAGAGCCATCTTCCTTGTTCATGGTGATGTCTGCTTCTCTGTAGCCCCTCTTCATTAGTCTTAACTGGACCATTGTTTCCAATTAGACGTTCTGACTTTTTTTCTTCTTTACTTCATCTTTACTGGCAGTTTATTCCTTCAGACTAAGTTTAAACTCCTTAGCCTACTATTAAAGATCTTCCACAGTCTACTTTTCCCATTTTATTTCTCACTATGAACAGAAACAAAATGCACTTTTTTTGTAATTTCTGGTTTTGTCCATGTTAATTGCTTGCTGTCCTCAATACATTCTCTTCACTTTTTCTTCATTCATGTGCTATCCTAAACTAAAAATGTCTTTTGTTTATGAATTTCCAAATCCTGACTTTCCTGAAACGTCTCTCCCACGTGTCATTTTTTTCACGTAATCTTACTTAATTTTTATAGTAAATAATAATCCCATGCGTCTGAACTTCCACAGCATTTCATTTGCAGTATTTTTCTGGCGTATTTCACTTTCTGTCTTTTTTTATATTGTCATTTCTGTTCCTTTCTTCTATTTCCTAAATTCTTTTTTTTTTTTTTCAAGGTTTTTATTGTGGATTGAGTGAAAGTTTACAGGGCACATCATCAGTTTTACATTCAACAAATCATACAGTTTGTTTCATTACAATGATTATAATCCCTCCATGTACCATCATTTACCAGTATTTCTCTCTATCCACTTTAGCTTTTTAAAAAAAAAAACACAACACTCAGGCATATATAATAATTTACATCTCTAAAGGACACATTCTGCAAGTCAGCCTCCTGGCCACCAGCTCTTAGTCCCTTTCTTCCCATGAATTTAGAGTCCTCAGCCGCTTCCCCTCTTCATGACCACATCTCTGCCTCTGTCTCTTGCATCGCTGCTTCTCTGGATAAGGTCCCGCACTCTGCTTGTGCACTTCTCTCTTGATGGTCCTAGGGTCCTCCGTTTCTGGACTGTAAGATTAACCACTCCCGTTTTTGTTACAAAACTTCTACCTTTACAATTGTGACAATTGCAAGTAGTCATGATAACAGTTATTCACTATTGAATCATACGAATCTTATCCCCATCTCTTTTCACCAGACCCTTCTAGACAAGATGAAATCTATTCAGTGGGGACTATTTCTTTCCCCCCATACTCTTAAACTAAACTCCCTCTTGAAACTTTGTAAGCCAGTCACTTTGTGACTTTATTGCCTCTTCATTTTAGGTAGCCAATGTCTAAGTTGTCTGTCCCTATCTACCCTGTGTACAGAGGGGATAGCATTGATACTTGATGTGAAGACTCCTTCCCTGTCTGTAGGTATTTAGAGTAACCACCTCTCTGAGTATAGGTCAGATTCATCAAATTGTAGCAATTTACCCTTGTTTCCTTTATGAAAAAAAAAAAAAAAATTTTTTTTTGTGTGTATGTGTGTATAATCTTCCTCTAGTTGAGTTCTGATTATCGAGCCATTAAGGCTAGATCAGATAGGTACTGTCTGCAAGTTTGGGTGTTCCTATGCATCTCCCCTCACTTCATATCAGCTGGATGCTTTACTCTCAGCTCTAGCCCTCTGTGGTTATGTCCCTGTCCATGGGCTCAAGTGTCCTCAGATTTCACAACGCTTTGGACCAACCAGCCCTTCCGCTTCTCTCTCTCCTCTCCAGGTCAACAGGAATCAATGGACTGTGGTTGAACTCAGCCCATTTCTTCATTGCTGCCTTTCCTTCTCTTGCACTCACCAGTAGACCAACGTAGTCACCAGCAATCTTACATGCTTGTTGTGTGTTCCCTTTGAGTTTCAGTCTTAGAGGGGAGTTTGTCCTGAACGCACTTGATTCCTAGCCTTGATGTCTTCCTGGCGAACAGCTTGCTTATTTTTTTAGTAGCCAGTCATGCGACATTTTTGTTTTGGGTTTTTCCTTATGATCTTTCTTTGAATCTGTCACTGTAGCTATTCCAGGCTGCTCAGCTTGTCCTTTCTAGTGGGAATGTCCTACCTCATGAGGTTCTGGATGGGACTCAGGATTTCACCTAAGGTCCTATACTCTGTAAAAGCTTTGCACGAGGCCTATTTCACTGGGCAAGTTCTAGAACCCCTTTTAGGTATTCTAGTCAGTTATAGCCTGAAGATGGGTATACAAGTTTTCTCTAATCATGTTTCCCAGCATTCCTTTCTATCCCACTCAAGTGTCTTATTTTACAATAGTAGACAAGGAAAACTAATATACATAAGACAATCAAGCATTTTAGTATTATTTCCCCTCTTCAAGCTATACCTAGATCCCTGTATCCCAGAGCCCTGTTGTTAAGGTTGAGCATGCATCACTATTTACCTCTGTCCTACTTAGGACATGCAAACCTGTCTCAGTGTTCCCCTATCTGTCTTGTTCTTTTGCCTCCTCCCCCTTCTTGTATGCTCTCCCCAACACCTGAACTAAACCTCCCACCCCAACCCCATTGTTGTGGTTACCTTATAGTCCATTAATTCTTTTCTCCATTTATGACAGTCTATTTTATCCTGTAATCTACGTGACCTTCTCACCACCTGGATCTCAGTTCCTCTGTGTTTACCGTCTTTCTCATTGTAATTGTTTTGATCATAGATTGACCTTCCAGATCCTCTGTTCTTATAATTTTATTCTGTTCTTGACTCTTCCATTTGTGGATTGAGTTCAGGTTGATGCTGCCATGTACTTCATTCTCTAGTTGTTGTCACTTCTTTTTGGTTCTCAGTAAGCAGAACTTCCTTTTTGATGTTTTTCATAGCAGGGTTGGCTTTGGCAAAATCCCTTAGCTTGTGTTTATCCTGGAATGTTTTGATTACACCATCATATTTGATTGACAGCTTTGCTGTGTAGAGGATTCTTGAGTGGCAGTTTTTTTCTTTCAGGGTTTTGTATATGTTTCCCCATTGCCTTCTTGCCTGCATGGTTTCTATTGAGAGATCCAAGCTTAATCTGATTTGCTTGCCTTTGTATGTTACACTTCTCTTTTCCCTAGCTGCTTTCAGGATTCTCTCCTTATCTTTGATTTTGGAGAGCTTGATTATTATATGTCATGGTGTTTATCTTTTAGGGTCTATCCATCCTGGGGTTCGTTGAGCTTCTTGAATGCTTGTCTTTTCACTTTTCAGGATGTTAGGAAATTTTTCTTCTAGAAGCTTTTCACCTATTTCTTCTGTGGACTTGTGTGATTCTTCCTGCTCCAGAATGCCAGTAATTCTTAACTTATTCCTGTTCATGTTGTCCAACATGAATCTTAGGCCTTCTTCAGACTTTTTTTTATCCTTTTTTGTGTTTGCTCTTCTATCTTAGTAGTGTTGAGAAATTTATCTTCTAGCTCACTAGTTCTGGCTTCTATCTCTTCAGTTCTACTCCTTTGCCCTTTCAGTTTATTGTCCATTTCTGATAGTCTATTATTAATTGTTTGGACCTCTTTAGGTTTTGAATTGCTTCCAATGCTGTGTCTATCTTGTTTGTTTTTATAGTGTTTTCCTGACTTCTTCCCTTATTTTTCTCCATTCCATTGTATAGTGTTTTGATATATTTTATAATCATTTTTCTGAATTCCTTCTCCATCATTTCCAAAACCTGCCCATCTTCCAGTATGGAGTGTAGGTCTGTCTTTTACTTCCAGGTCATTTTCCTCAGTCGCTTTATCTCATTTCTGGACATGTGCTGATATGGCAATATGCTTCTGTTTTGGGGGGAATATTCAGGAGTTATTGGTGGCCTTAATACTTAGATGGGTGTGTATTTTGATATTTTTTATGCTTTCTGATTGCCTCCAGGTATATGTGATCAGGAAATGGGCTTCCCTTTCACTCTTCTTCCTGAGAAATTTCAAGATGCCACTGTTAGTCATTGTGACATAACTCAGGATTTAATTTTTGGCCTATTTCCTTTTTAGTCTGCCTGTCCTGCTCCACAATCCCCATTCAGGCCTTTTTTTCTAGTTGTAAACAGTTCAGGGACGGCTGCGACCATTTGGTTTTAAGTGGAAACTGTCTCTTTAAATTTCTAGGAGATCTGTGAGCATGCATAGTAGAACCCTCCAGGGAGTGGGGGTGAGGTGTCCACTCGCTCAGGCACCACCTCTAGTCACCAGAATGGAGGTGTGCAGACAGCGAAGGACTAATGAACAGATACCAAAAAAAAAAAAAAAGAATATCCACACCTTTATTTTCGTACTTCTGTCAGGCATCTGAGGCTGCTCTGATCCTTCCCCCACTTGGTCCCTTCCAAGATGGCGGCTCCGGGAGCAGCTGAGTTTCTTGAATTAGAAAGCAATGGATTTCTTGCTTCTGCTACAAATTCCCCTAGCTGTAAGCCTTCCAACCTTCTAAATATTCCTTTATATTTGGTTCAGTGTTCTGGCACCATCCCCTGAGCCTGCTTGGTCCGATATTCTGTGTTGTGGCTGACGGAGTTCTTCACTGCACTTCCACCCTCTCCACCATCTTGTTTGTTCTGCCTATTTCCTAAATTCTTAGAGTTGATGAACAGAATATGAATCCCATCTTCATGTCTCACGCAGCTACAAGCCCCTCAGTGTTACTACATCTAAGGAGAAGGAATGGATGGTGTGCAGCTGTGTGTTCTACAGAGGGAGCACTTGCATAGTTCAGAAAGCACATCAGGCCTGATTTCTTATGTCTTTCTAAACATTAAGGGAGATTCCGCGTTAGTGAATTCCTACTGCATGGAGGAGTTCTGAAACATGTTTACTTGCTGTGAAAATCCTCGGAAGTATTCTCAGTATTTAAAGACAGCAGCATAATGCACATGATAAAGGGTGGTCAGGGCAGGTAGGTTGGGCGATATTGAAATATTTGTCTTGGATGTGCCAAGCATACTATCCTTTGTACTTGGGATACAATGGTTTGCCAGAACAGATGTGGGGATAACTGGGACCAAGTAGATCTAGTATCTGGCTCTGTTAACTGCATTGTGGATTGTGGATCTACCACATAAATTGGCTACATATTTCGACATAACTTACATGTCTGATTCTTATCTTATGCTGAGTGTGTATACTTGAGGCCAGTGATAATAAGTAGACTTAGAACTATCACATAGCCTCCAGATTTCTATCACTTTTTGTTTGTTTTAAAGGTCATGTGTACTGGGAATCATGTTAATACATATTTAATAAAATTTTATTTCTTTTATGAAAAGATAATATCTACACATATGTCCCCAGTTATCCAGTTCCCTTCCCTGCATTTTTCTGCACCTTGCTGTTTTCAATTTACAATATATCATAGAATGGTGATGTTGTTAAGTGTCACTGAGTTGGTTCTGACTCACAGTGATGCTATATAGGGTTTCCAAGAAGCAGCTGGTAGGTTTGAACCACTGACCTCGTGGTTAGCAGGCCAGTACTATTCTATAGTGCCATACTAGGACTCCATATCTTAGAGAACTTACCATAAATGTGCATACAAATCTTTCTTCTGAAATGAACTATTACCGTACTGAAGGATATTTAAGTCTGCACTCAGTTAATATTGTTGCTCTCCTTTTATAAATGCGACATTGAAGCTAACAGAATGAACTGGCTCATTTTAGACATAATGCCTCTCAGGATCTTTAGCTGCCTTAAATGCTGAGGGCCAAACATTTGTAGCCCTCCTTATGGTACTTTCTTGGCACTGACACTGGAATCCCCTTTTATTCAGTTAGCCTACCTCTTCCCCTTCATAACTAACTGGTTTGTGTCTCTGACTCCATAGATGTCATTATCCCTGAGAATGGGGAAGCAGTGGGCACCAGAGAGATCAAATGCTGCATCCGACAGATCCAGGAGCTCATCATATCCCGCCTTAATCAGGCAGTGGCCAACAAGCTGATCAGCTCAGTGGATTACCTACGGGAGAGTTTTGTGGGAACCCTGGAGCGGTGTCTGCAGAGCCTGGAGAAGTCTCAGGATGTCTCAATTCACATCACCAGTAATTATCTCAAACAGGTAGGAACTCAAAGATACCATGTCACAGATAACCCGGAGAACAGAATCCACCTACAAGCCCAACTCCAAATTGCATTTCCACTCAACTTTATGCCTATCCAATTTTAAATTTACTTTATTTTCCTTTGATATGGCCAGTGTATGTGGGATGTGTAAACAGTCAGGACAGTTGCTGTTAAATTAATGAGCAAGGGGATGAAGAATGAAGTTGTTATGTGCCATGGAGTCGGTTCCCACTCATAGCAACTCTGTACAGGGTTTTCGAGGCTGTTAATCATTATGGGAGCAGAAATCCTCATCTTTCTCCCGCGGAACAGCTGGTAGTTTGTAGAACTGCTGACCTTGAGGTTCGCAGCCCGATTCGTAACCACTACGATTGCAAAATAGATCATCGACATGAGTTTCCAGGATTCAGCTCTACTTACATACTGAGGGATCAGTTTGGGAACTCTGAGACTAGATTGGTTTTGAAGTAAATACTCATTGCGTTTTAAAATATTTTATTGTGAATTGGATAAAGGTGTGTAGAGCAGATCAGTTTTCCATTCAACAAGTCTTGTATGCTTTGTTTCATCTCATTGGTTGCAATCCCCACAGTGAAACATATCTTATCTCATTTCCTCTCTGTGTTTACTCTTTCCATTCTCCTTGGTTCATAGCCCTTCTAAACTTTGTCCTTGGGCACATGCTGCCCTTTTAATCTCAAATGATGATTTAAAGTTGCGTACCTCCCAGTGTTAATTGCTGTCTCTATAGACTTGTCTATTGTTCAGCTGAAAATTGAGCCGCCCACGTACATGGGGGAGACCTGATGGTGACTAAGGGCTATAGGTTTCCCCAATCTCTATCCAGCCAGTAATTATGGTCTTTTTTATGATTTTGAATTTTGTTCCATGTTTTTTTCCTACTCTTATCTATCATTGCAGTTTTGAAATAGCCACTCTACTCAGGGCATATTGATTTGCTTTGTATATTCTCTTTCAGATCTTAAATGCCGCCTATCATGTTGAAGTCACATTTCATTCAGGGTCCACGGTAACAAGGATGCTATGGGAACAAATCAAGCAGGTAGGGTTAGTTAGAGAAAAAAATTTCAACCTTCAGTTGGCTCAAATGACTCCTTATCACCGCAGTGGTGGACTGATGTCTAGGGTCTTCTGTTGGTGTAGGTTAGTCATGCCTGGGAGAATTCTGGGTTATGCATGCTGTGAAATCGTTGTTAATAGTGTCTCTGCTCTTAATTCTTAAAAGTGGTGGGTTTAGATGACAGTTTATGGAGCCATAAGACTACTTCACTATCTTTTTCTTATTTCTATGAAAGCCAGTTACCTCAGAAACAGGCTTTGTTGTCGTCGGAGGCCATGAGTGTTGTTCCTGATCTGGAATTTGATCTGGCTTTTATGTAGAGTTATTTATTTACTTCAGAAAGAGATTTTTTCAGGAACTCCCTGGCACTGAATGTAATGCATCAAGAACTTTTGTTTATGAAGATTAGACCTGGTGGTCTTTGATGCTTTCATCTGGGTTGAGCCCTGGCTGTGAGGTAGATGGAACTGGAGAAGAGCTTTGGACTTCATACAGCTCCTGTTTTAAGAGTCTGCTTCTAATGAGTGGATAATTCAGGAAACAAAAGGCAGTGGGTCTTTGTAGTGGTCCCTACTTCCCATCCCTTAGTGATCTCACTGTCCTCATCCTGGCAGATCATCCAGCGCATCACATGGGTGAGCCCACCTGCCATCAGTCCCGAGTGGAAGAGGAAGGTGGCCCAAGAAGCCATCGAGAGCCTCAGTGCCTCCAAGTTGGCTAAGAGCATTTGTAGCCAATTCCGGACGCGGCTCAATAGTTCTCATGAAGCCTTTGCAGCCTCCTTGCGGCAGGTGAGTATGTAGGAGGAGCTACAGCTGGACCAAGCACGGGAAAAAATTTTGCTTACTGCTTTCCATATGTAATGTTTAAATCCTAACCCTCCTCACCCCCCATTTTGTCAAAGGATAATATTACATATTCCAGGAAGTATTAGGAAAACATTTTCTTAATGTGGATTTTTTCATTCTAGGTAGAATGGAGGGAACGCCATTATTTTTTTCCATTTCCCTCAGTGGGGAATAAAAATGTAGAGGGCTAGGCATGTTGAGTTTATCTAACGTTTTGGGAATATATGATAGAGATGACTTCCCACTTCCACACTAGTTTGCAGTTATGTGATGTCTGCTTGTCCTGTTGGTGTGGGTGGGCGTACATGTCTGTTGGGGTTGTGGGGAAGAGGTGATTATTTATCCGAGAGGAAAATGTTTAGTAAAGTGTCCCACTGTGTACCAGTCTTTGTGCTAAACACGTTGTTGTTGATGTGTGCCGTTGAGTTGGCTCTGACTCATACCAACTCTATGTAGGGTTGCTGGTTTCCAAGAGTGGCTGGTGGGTTTGAACTGCAGCTACCAGTCCAGTGTTTATCCTACAGTGCCTCATCAGAGCTTGCGAAACACATGCATACATCTTATTTAGTCCTCACAATCATCTTTATAAGATAAATGAGATTGTAATTCCTGTATTTTAAGTAAGAAAGCCAAGACTAGAGTCTTCATGAATCTGACTTTTTTCTGTTTCCCTCCCAGCTGGAAGCTGGCCACTCAGGTCGACTGGAGAAAACAGAAGACCTGTGGCTAAAGGTTCGGAAGGATCATGCCCCCCGCCTGGCCCGCCTTTCTCTGGAGAGCCGTTCTTTACAGGATGTCTTACTACATCGTGAGTCCTTAGTTGTCTTCCCCAAGTTAACCTGAGGAGGGTTCTGGCTACTTGATGGGTCAGTCTTGTGTGCAGCCTTGGTGAGAATCTCAGGCCTCTCTTGCCTGTCCACTTAAGCACTTATTTATGTATTTTTGAATTCTTGAAGTCTGTTTGGTACTGCTGTTAATGTAGGTCAAATAACATCATCAAAGCTTATTTAAATATAACCAGTTAGGTTATGAGGACTTTGAATGACACCACAATTCCTCACCCTGATAATTTTGGCTTTCTGACTTTCTGGCTGGTCCATCTTATCTGTCTCTGCCTATGTGCCTCTCTAGGTAAACCTAAACTGGGACAGGAACTAGGCCGGGGCCAGTATGGAGTGGTGTACCTTTGTGACAACTGGGGAGGACACTTCCCTTGTGCCCTCAAGTCCGTTGTTCCTCCAGATGAGAAGCACTGGAATGACCTGGCTCTGGAATTTCACTACATGAGGTAGGTTCTGGTCTCATTCATCTTTATGAGGAAAAAGAGAAGCCCAAAGTCCAGGAGAAGATTGGTATGAAGAGCTACCGTGTATCCTGTCTCTTCATACCTAGGTCTCAAAATGTTGTGGACTAGTATTTCTTGGTCTAGCCCAGAAACATGTTCTCTCAAAGGCCTTTTTGGTCTTTGTTTTTCCCCGCCATCTTAACTTCTGAGTTTCACCTTCACATTTGAGTTTGTCCCTTAGTCTTTATCCTTATGGCCTATCAGTTTTTAGATCCTAATTTTTTTTTTTTATCCTTGTTGGAGAAGCCTTGCCTTCTTGGCTTCTCTCTGCACTGAGAGCGGTTCCCTTTAGATCCAGACTAACTGTGGTCTCGAGTTGATTTCTTCCCACATTGTGGCATGCTGTAGCCTAGCCCACCTCCGCTGTCCTTTACACCAGGTCTTTGCCAAAGCATGAGCGCCTGGTGGATCTCCACGGTTCTGTCATCGATTACAGCTATGGCGGCGGCTCCAGCATTGCTGTGCTGCTCATCATGGAGCGGCTACACCGGGACCTCTACACGGGCCTGAAGGTGAGTCCCTGTAAGAGGAGCAAGAGCTAACTGGCAACCACACCCACAGGTTCTGTGTGGCCCTTCATCTTCCTAGTTTATTCAGAACTTCTAGTTTTCATAAGAGATTGTTGGGGTAAATAAGCTTTGTTGTCTTTTATTGCCCAAAGAAAACCTTAAAAAGTCTTAGAATCTATTTTCAGCATAGTATTATATTCAGGATACTATCATTCATCACTCAGACAAAGGTGGTTAAAATCTAGACTGGTAACTTTCTCCTGATTTAGAATGACAAGACAGCAAAAAAGCTTCCTGTAACTCTCCTGTTCTTGTTCTTTATGTCCTCAGTGTTTAAAGCTATTGTTTGTTTTTAGTCAACAAATATTTATGACTAAAAGAGTCTGGGGTGTGATGCTGTAGGATAAACGCTGGACTGCTAACTGCAAAGTCAGCAGTTCAAACTACCAGTCGCTCCTCGGAAATCTATAGAGTCACTATGAGTCTGAACTGACTCGATGGCATTTGACAGCAACGTTGTACAAGGTCCTATTTATTAAGTAGGTGTTGGAGGAGAATATTGAAAGTGCCATGAGCTGCCCATAGGACCAACAGATCTGTGTTGGAAAAAGTGCAACCAGAATATTCCTTGGAGGCTAAGATGGCCAAACTTCATCTCTCATACTTCAGACATATTGTTAGGAGGGACCAGTCGCTGGAGAAGGATCTTATGTTTAGTAAGGTGGAGGGTCAGAGAAAAAGAGGAAGACCTCAGTGAGATGGATTGGCCAAGTGGCAGCATCTGTGGGCTCAAGCATGGCAACAATAGTGAGGTTGGCCCAAGATCGGGCAGTGTTTCGTTCTGCTGTGCATAAGGTCACTATGAGTCGGCATCGACTCGATGGCACCTGAAAACAACAACAAGGGGAATGCAAAAAATTATAATTGCCAGGGGCTTTTGGAACATTGTAATCAGTGAGTATTTCATAAAGAGGAAGAGATGGACACTCAGCTGGGAGAGATTTACCCTGTTGGAGAGAAGCAGCTACACCAGGGGAATGTAATAGCACATAATGCCCTGAGCACATTTGATGATCAGTAAAGACACTGGTCAGACTGGACTAAGTTGTTCATTTGGGAAGAGGAGTAAGACAATATGCAAAGAGAGTTTGGGAACAAATTTTTGTTGTTAGGTACCTAATCACCAGATCAGATTTAGTTCCAAATCAGAGCAACCCTATATACAACAGAACGCAACACTGTCTGGTCCTCCACCATCTTTACAATAGTTACTTTTGAGCCCATTGTTGCTGCCACTATGTCAATCCATCTCATTGGGGGTTTCCTCTTTTTTAATTGACCACTTACTTTACCAATCACAATATCCATCTTCAGGGGCTGGTCCCTCCTGATAATATGTTCGAAATCTGAGAGGCAAAGTCTTTCCATCCTGGCTTCAGGGGAGTATTCTTGTTACACTTCTTCCAACACAGATTAGTTTGTTCTTCTGGCAATCTGTAGTACATTCAGTATTCTTATTCAACACTGTAATTCAAATGCATCGATTCTTCTACAGTCTTATTAATTGTCCAACTTTTGCATGCATATGAGGTAACTCCACCACTAGTCTGTCATACTCTGGTGACTTGAGTGTTACTGTGATGATGGTAGATATGCTACAGATACTTTAAATACCAGGTCACCTGTGGTGGACAAGTTGTAGCAGAGCTTCCAGACTTAACACTAGGAAGAATAGGCATATTACTTCTGAATATTTAGTCACTGAAAACCTTAGGAATAGCTGTGAAACATTGTCAATTCTAGTGCAGGAAGATGAACACCTTCTGGTTTGAAGGTATTAAAAATATGACTAGGGAATACCTAAAATAGTGTTACAATGTTCCCAGTGAAGGAGGCTGCCTTTGGAGCCTCTGCATTACATAAGACCATAGGTGGAATCCTGAACAGCATCCAGAATCTTCTCAGATGGGAAATTTCCACATGAAAGGACAAGCAGACCAGCCTGGAGCCTAGAAGAACAGAAGATACTTCTTGAAAGAAAGACCTACAGGAAAAATACAAAACAATAGAGGCAGATGGACTGTTACTATAAGAACAAGCAATTTGCTCGCCCAGGAGATATCAAGCCAAGTAGTTGGGTCCTTTCAGGGCAAACCCCCTTCTAAGAATAAGACTCAACAGGAACACATGCTCTGATTGGTGACCACGTTCATCACCTATAAGGGGAAGTGAGGGAAAAACAGCAATGAAGCTGCGAGCTAAGTCCTACAATGTTCAGTGGACTCCTGTGAACCCGAGTGGAGACCTGGTTGGCCAGCAGTGTGGCAAGAGCTGGAGACTCTTGGGCCCAGAGTCAGTGACATAGCCACAGAGGACTAGAGTGGAGAGTGAAGCATCCAGCTGATAAGAAGAGAGGGCATATGCACAAGAACACCCACACTTGCAGATAATACCCACTTGACCTGGCTTCAATGACTGGATGATCAGAGCTCAACTAGAAGAAGAAAGAAGAGGGAAAAAAAGAGGAATCTGATACAGTGTGATGAACTTGACCTACTCCTATGGATGTAGTAGCTCAAAAGAGGGAACAAATCTTTACAGCAAGGATCATTCCCACCCCCTCCACACACAGAGTAGACAGGGATGGGCAACTTGGACACTGGCTATCCAAAATGGTGGTGGTGATGATGGGGGGTTACAAAGGCAAGAAGTGACTGGCTTACAAGCTTTCAAGAGGGAACCTAGATCCAGAGGGCATGGAGGAAGGTAGAATCTCCACTGAGTAGTATCCAATCTGTCTGGGTGGGGCTGATAAAAGGAAATGCAGATAGGTCTCTTGTGATACAATTGTTGTTGTTGTTAAGTGCCGTCGAGTCGGATCCGACCCATAGCGACCCTGTACAGGGTTTCCGAGGCTGTAAATCTTTACGGGAGCAGAATGCCTCATCTTTCTCCCGCGGAGCGGCTGGTAGTTTCGAACTGCTGGCCTTAAGGTTCGCAGCCCGATTCGTAACCACTACGCTACCAGAGCTCCTTTGTGATACAATAGTGAATAATTATTATCAGGACTGACTGTGAGGGTTGGAAATGTAAAGGTAGACGTTTTATAGCAAGGAGGGGAGTGATTAACTTTGCAGTCTAGGAGTGGAGGTCCCTGGGACCACCAAGGGAGAAGAGTGAACAGTGGGACCCTACCCAGAGAAGCAGTGATGCCAGAGATGGAGGCAGAGATGATGACGTGGAGAGATGGAGCAGCTGGGGACTCCATCACCCAGAGAGGGAGAGGGGCTGTATGCTGACGACTGGGGGGCAGGCTTGCAGGGTATACCCTTTGGTTATTTGATGATGCATGGAAGGGACTGTAACCATGGCAGTGAAACGATATACGGTAGGATGAATGTAAAGCTAATGTTCTCCCATGTAATAAACTATCACATAATTCACAATAAAACATATATATATAAGGAGTTCTGGTAGTGTAGTGGTTACGAAACGGGCTGCTAACCTCAAGGTCGGTAGTTTGAAACTACCAGCGGTTCCATAGGAGAAAGATGAGGTGTTCTGCTTCCGTAAAGATTTACAGCCTTGGAAACCCTGTTCAGGGTCACTATGACTCGGAACCGACTCCACGGTACTTAACAACAACAACAAATATGACTAGGGAAAAGCTGTCTCCTCAAAGTAGAGTTGACCATAATGGTATGAAAGCTTTTGTGATGGGGCACAACCCAAAATGAGGAGAAACAGTTGCAGACATCCATTAATAATTAGAATGTGGAATATACAAAGTATATATGAATCTTGGAAAACTGGAAATTATAAAAAATGAAATGGAATGCATAAAGATCAATATCCTAGGTTATTAGTGAAATTAATTGGACTTGTATTAGCCATTTTGAATTGCACTATATAATATGGTTTACTATACCAGGAACAAACAATTGAAGATGAATGGCGTCACATTCATCATTGTAAAGAACATTTCAAGATCTATCTTGAAGTACAGTGCTGTCTTTGGTCAAATAATATACATATGTCTGCAAAAGCAAGACCAGTAAATACCATTTTTCAAACTTATATACCAACTGCTAAAGCCAGTGATGATGAAATTGAAGAATCTGACCAACTCCTTCAAGGAGCTCTGGTAGCGTAGTGGTTACGAATTGGGCTGTGAGCCGCAAGGGCAGCAGTTCAAAACTACCAGCTGTTCTGCAGGAGAAAGAGGAGGCTTTCTGCTCCCGTAAAGATTTACAGCCTCGGAAACCATGTACAGGGTCACTATGAGTCGGAACCCACTCCACGGCACATAACAGCAACAACAACAACCAACTCTTTCAATCTGAAATTGACCAAACATACAATCAAGATGCACTGATAATTACTGGCACTGAAACACAAAGATTACAAGCAAAGAGGAAGAAGTGGTAGTTGGAAAATACGGCATTGGTGATAGAAATGATGCTGGATATTGCATGATAGAAATTTGCAAGACCAACAATTTATTAATTGCAAATCACTTTTTTAAACAACCTAAGAGATGACTATACACATGAACCTCACCAGATGGAAAACAGGACTCAAATTGACTACATCTGTGGGAAGAAAAAGGGGAGAAGCTCAATATCATAAGCCAAAACAAGGCCAGGGGCAGACCATGGAACACACCATCAGTTGTTCATATGCAAGTTGAGGCTGAAACAAGAAAATTAAAACAAGTCCACGAGAGATAAAATGTGACTTTGAATTTATCCCATCTGAAAATGTGGAGACTATCTAAAGAACGGATTTTATGCAATGGACACTATGGTCGAAGACCAGAGAGTTGTGGGATGACATCATACAGGAAAAAAGCAAAAGGTCCTTTTCTATTAAGAAGATAGGAAAGAAACATAAAAACAAAATGTGTATCAGAAGAGACTTTGAAACTTGCTCTTGACTTTGGAGAAGCTAAAACAAATAAAAGAAATAAGAAATTAAAGGAGCTGAAAAGAAGATGTCAAAGG